ACCTAGCCAGCCGACAAAACAATTATTACAACCTTCAATTCTTTAATCATCCCGCAAGCAGAGGGTGGAGGGGGGGGGGGACCAGCTCATTACGGGGGCAGATGCGGTAGAAAGCGAGAGTGGCGAGAAAAGTGTGCAGCGAGACAGCGGACGAGCCAATTAGAAGCGTAAAAAGACCCGGCAAGAAAAATAGTGCGACGGGAATGTGAGTGAGCGTGTGCAGGCTGTTTGTATTTGTGTGAGTGTGTGAGTGTGTTCCGCCTCCTGCCGAAAAAAAGGGGCCGAACCTGACGCGGGAAGCGCGCAGGAGGCTCCCTCATCCGCGTGTACTACAACAATACAGCAAAGCAGAAAGTGATAATTTCATTATTCATGTTCCTGCGCGGGCCCACCGAGAAGCGTGAGTCCAGCGGCCCGGCCACGCATTGTCTGCTACCTTGTGCGAACTTCATTGTTATTACCCCGCACTTCGGGATCAAAGTGTTTTCAATAACCGGGGCGCCCGGCCCAGAACGGCCCAGATTTTCCGTCTTTTCATCACCGCGGCGTCGTGTCGTCGCGGGGCCGCGCCAGCCAAGCCGGCCTGGTTGTTATTACTGTGATTTTACGACAATGGCCGGGGGGAGGGCCGCGGGGGGCCGCGGGGGGCCGCGGGTCACGCCAAAGCCCGCGGCCGGCGAGTCATACGACAGACAATGCGGGCCGGGCCCTTGGCGGCCCTTGGCGGGCAGACCGCGAGAGAACAGGGCAGATAAGACCGGGCCGCTTTGCAAGCACTTGGAGGAGAAAAAACGAAAACGAAAAAAAGACAACGGGCCGCTGCTGGTGACAGTGCACCGGCAGCGGCATGCACGAGTTGACACATTTAAACGCGGCTTTACTTTTTGTCCGCTGCAGAGAGATTCGGAGAGTTCGATTGTCGCGCAAATCCCGAGAAAGTAGCGGCAGGGGACGGGGAGTTGGCTGTGCTAGAGCGAGGCTTGTTTCGACGGGTTGGTATTCACTTTGGATGCGCGTGTTGCAGAGCTGGAGACACCGCGTGGGCTCCGCCGCGGCCGAGCCGTCCGCCGACGACGAGGACGCCGAGGGTGATGCCGGCGGCGCGGCCAAGCCCGCGGAGGACGACGCGGTGCCCGAGGACGCCCTGCCGCCCAAGCGGCGGCGCTACACCCGCAAGCGCCTGCGCCCGCAGGCCCAGGACGACGTCGAGGCCGACGCCAGCGTGGCCGCCAAGCGGAAGAAGCCCGGCAGGGACGACGACGAGGAGGAGCACCGACGTCGCAAGCCGGGCCAGCGCCGCCGCCGGCCCCACCGGCCCGACACCGAGGCCGCGCAGGACGCCGACGCCGAGGACGAGGCCAGGCACATCGACGCAGCGACGGAGCAGCAGGGCGCCGCACAACCCAGCGTCGCGTCCCCGTCCGACCTCAAGTCCCTCCTCAAGCAGACCGCCGGGCAGCTCAGCTTGAGCGAGCTGCTGCAGAACCGTAACCTGTCGCTGTCCGACCTGCTCAAGGGCAACCGCGGCGCGCTGTCCGCGCTCACAGCCCCGCACGGCCAAGCCGCCCACGCCAACGACGCCGCGCCCTCCGCGGCCTCCAGCACGGCGGCCGACGCGGAGGACGAGCCCGCCACGGAGCGCCACAACGGCTTCGTGCCGTCCAAGCCCAGGCGGCTGCCGCCCACGCCGCGCCCGTCCGCCGCACCGTCGCCGTCCTCGCGACCCGAGCCGGAGCCCGAGGTGACGACGTCGCGGCCACGGCGGCTGCCCGCGGTGGTGGCGCGCGTCAAGGCGGAGCAGCAAGCCAAGGGGCACGCCGCCACGCAGGCCGACGCGCTGGACCCCATGAACCCCGCCATGATGGCCATGATCGCGTTGGAGGCGGCTGACACGCACACGTCCAAGCCCAGGCGGATCCCACCGCCCGCCGCCACTTCAACGGCCAGCCCCAGCACCTCGAGCACGACCTCCACAACCACCACGACCACCACCAGCAGGACCGAGGCGGCGGCGCCGTCCACCACGGCCGGCACCACGACGAGCACCTCGGCGGGCACCACGCTGCCTCCGCGCGACTTCTACCCGCTCAACGTGGACTCGCTGGAGATCACGACGCCGCGCCTCATGGGGGTCTCCAAGGCGGCCGCGTCCAAGCCGGCGTGGCTGCCGCCCGCTGACAGGATCATCGACGCGCAGGTGTTTTCGCCCGGCTCCATCGCCAACAAGTTTAGGACGCACGGCTTCGTGGCCAGCGGCGAGCAGGCCCTGGACCGCCCCGAGATGACGCCGCCCACCACCACGACCACCAGCACGCTGCCGCCGCAGCCCGCCACTCTCCAGAACACGTCGGACCACTTCCGCCTGGAGAACGAGACGCTGGACCTCAAGGAAGGCAACGCGCTGGACAAGAGGAAGATTGGCAGTATGCCGAGCAGGACCGAGCAGAACACCACCAGCAGCAGCACGCAACACGCGCAGCACGCCAACGAGCTGGACAAGGCGGACAAGGACAAGGCCGAGAAGCGAAAGCCGCTCATCCCCATCGCGTCGACGGGGCCGCGCCGCCTGCCGCCCACACTGGCGGGCACCCGCCGCCTGCCCGCCGCCCTCCCGACGCGCCCCAAGACCACCACCGAGCCTCCCGCCCCCGAACGGCCGCGACTGCCCTTCCTGGTCAACAAGCGTGCGAAGGACAAGGAGCGCGAGCGTGAGCGTGAGCGTGAGCGCGATGCACTGCTACCCCCGACTCGCTTCGCGCTGCCCCTGCCCGAGGTCATCTCCGTCGAGAAGATGATCGCGGACGCGCGCAGCCGCGGCGCGCTGGAGCAGGGCACCACCGTCTCGCAGTCGCAGGCCTCCTCGGAGCGGACCACCACGACGGACGCCCCCGCCCCGTCCGTGGCCTCCACCTCTCCGTCCACGTCGACCACGTTCGCCTCGCGCGACGAGATCCTGGACCTGCTCAAGTCGGAGCAGAGCTCCACTCGCCTGTCGCGCATCCTGGCCGAGCGCAACATGACGCTGGAGGACTTGCTGCAGCACCGCGAGCGCGGCTCCAGCCAGTTGCACTTCGCCGACTTCATCCGCAGCGACCGCAACGCGACGAGCAAGGCTGCCGACGAGGCCAAGCCCATCGACCTGGTGCCCAAGGAGATCGCCCCCGCCGAGCGCAAGGACAGCGTCAACATCCTGCGCTCCTTCCACGAGGTCCCCAAGTACCCTTTCGCCTACAGCAGCGCCGGTGAGGCCGCAGACGACTCAGAGGAGGCCGCGTCTACCCTGTCCCTCGTCAACGTCAAGCCAGCCGGCATCGTGCTCCCTGCGGACCCGGGCGAGCGATACCACCACCAACGGAGCGCCGTCCCCGTCGCCGCGGCCGCCCCTAGCCGCGCCCCCAGGGTCGTCGTCCCCCAGCCACAGGCACCGCCACCACCGCCCCCGCCGCCCCCGCAACCCTACCCCATCCCGACTTTTCGCCTCCCCGAGCCGCCCGCGCACGCCAGCAACCCGTACCTAGTCATCAAGCACGTGCCAGACGCGCAGGACGCCATGACGGTCGCCATGACGGACACCATCCCCGACCGACCTGACGCCGTGGTGCTCGAGCACGTGGGCGAGATCCGCCAGGTCGGCGTCAGCAGCAGCGTGGAGGAGGCCATCGTGGTGGACAGCGTCCGCGACAACGTGCGGCACAGCGACCGGCCGGACCGGCTGGACAGGCTGTCCCTGCCGTCGGGCGTCAAGTCGGCCATCATCGCCAGCACCGTCATCTGCGGCCTGGCCATCGTGGGCTTCCTCACCATCTTCATCGTGTTCCGCTGGCGCCAGAAGCGCGCGCTCATCCGCGCCCGCGGCGCCATCCTGTGCGAGCAGCTGCAGCGCGGCAGCTTCCGGGGCCGCTCCCTCAGCCCCGTGCTGGTCAACGTCAGCAAGTCCAGCCAAGTGCAGCCCATGCAGCACTCGGGGCCCGTGCCCTACTACTCCAAGAAGGACCTCAGCTCCAGGGCCACCTCCAACACCGCCTCCAACCGCCACTACTACCTGTGGCGCTCCCTCAGGAAGACCTTCCAGGAGGACGACATGGATTAGATGCACCGTGGCCGCCATCGGACAGTCGCGATGAAAATGAGCAAAGGTTTTACGTTGGTCACGGAGGTTGAAACGGAAATCATGCAAGAATTTTCATCTGCGCAACATTGCCATTTTTATGGTGTAGCTTTATGGCCAAGAGCTGTACTTCTTCTGTTGAAAAGTAAGAGGCTAAAAATGTGAGTGAGGTGTGATGTCTCCTGGTAAAGGAAGTTCAACCATCCAAGGCACAGCACAGCTCAACATTTGTGATACTCAAGTGAGGGACACCCTGCTGTGCGGCGCTGAGTTTAAGGAAATTAAATGTTGTGCATCAGCAGCAGCTATGCTCTCTGGTTTTGAACTCACCATTAGTAAGTTGTGCAACTCTAATGTGATAATAACAACTGTAGAAACTGTTACATGGCGACAAGACTCATTCATGAAATATTAGTGTTTGTCATCAAACACTCAAAGAGTATTCTTCAAGGAAAATCTTCTTTTTCAAATTTTATGTTTGTTATCAGTATTATAATGTATGATCTAGGTTGAAAGCCACAAGAAACAGATTCTGCAGTGATGACTGTGTACATAAATGCATATGATGTAAAATAGAGATGTATGTATAATTTATTATTAAAAGTACTTAGGAAGTAATTTAATTTAAGAATATTATTAGCTGTCATCTGATACAATCAAAAAGTTTTTAGGTTCAAAATTTTATCCTCATTGACCGTTCTAAAATTACATGTGAAACCACTTGTTAGTGGATCAGAATTTCTGTTTATGTCCAAGATAAAATTACATGTTGCAGATATGAAATAAATGTTAATAACTGTGTGCTGACAGTGATCTAGCCCTTGATTTGACCCTGCTCTACAAATGATCATGCACTTTCTGAAAGCAGAAGAACTGTAAAACACTAACTCACCAATACTCCTCATATGTGAAGACTTCTCGGAGGATGGAACTTGCTTCATCATTTGCGTTCTACAAAAGATAGAAACAAATGAGAGCTATATTACAACAGAAGTGCTTTATAAAATGCATTGTCTCTGATATCAAACATATTGCACCTGAAATAGTTTGCTGAAATATGCATACTGTCTTGCTATGGATCTGCATTGTCTCAAAGCCATTTCTACAAGAGAAAAAGAAGAGGAAAAATAAGAAAATTTCTAAAATTTTACAAAATAATTTATAAAAAGCTAGCGACAAAAATACTAAACTTACCGAAGGCTGGAGAACCTTTCAGTTGGACTATTTCATCAGGACTAAAATACAACACAGTAGTGTATCTCTGCGGCAGCATGTTGATGTATGGTTTCCAAAATGAGAGCGGTTCACGCCTCTGAAGTAACACAAGCAATGCTAATGCAACATTGGGCATATGAACTATTAAAGGATCCTTTGTCGCTAGTTCCCCTAGAACAAAAACACAACAGACAATTAACAAGCAACTGGTTGAGCAAAAGAAAATGAAAAACACAAAAAGACTTACTGAAGGGAGACTGGTGCACATTTTCAACAGTAAGCATTACAGAGCGAGGAACAGCGATCATCATGTCTCCTTCTTTAAAATCTTTTTCTGCTTCAATACCAAAATCTAAACCAGGATATTCAGCAATCTTTAGTCCGTCAAATTCAACATTGTTATTTCGTAACCAAGATAAAAATTCCTCTACAGCTGAAGCCCTTGATGGAAGTGACTGTTGCAGATCTAAAAAACATACAATGATAAATCATAAAAATCTTTGACTGTCTGTCAGGATTTTAAAATAGAGGAGCAACGCCTAAATACCTGCTTCTATCAGCTTCACTTTGCTGAGCACCTTCTGGATCTCCTGGTATGCCTCCCATTCCTTGGATATGTTAGCAGATTCAGGTACACTGCTACTAACTAGACAAACAAATGCAAAATTGGAGACAACAAGAATCAACATGAACAAAATTGTTTTCAACATAATGATGATTAATTATGATAGGTTAGTGCCCGTCATGAGAAACAGGCAACAGTTAACTATACAGTTAATGACACGACTAGATACCTTTTAAAATTTTATCCAGAAGTTGATTTAATTCGTTTCTTTTATGAGGGGGCAGCTTCTTAACTCCTGTCGTCTGCAGTCCATTCTTTGAAAAATTACTTTGTTTACCCCGTGCATCGTTGCTGTGAGATTTCTTCCCCATGTTCACAAAACTTGAATGAAACGTGTCTCCAGCGAACCGTGACCAGCCGACACGCCTCCGTGGCTTTCGACAACGACACAACTACTTCAAATCGACGTGCTGTCAGTATTTTGAATTTAATGTCCCCCCATGGTCCGGATGCAATTGCCAATAGGGGTTCGAAGGCAAAGCTCAGCGCCGCCTGCCCAGGCGTGGTGGCCACCCTTGGAACTACGAGAATAGATTGTCCACGGTACTGTCACATCGTCGGAGCAGTGGGGCAGACGACGCCGCCGACTAAAGATCGCTGACATGCCGAAACATGTGTCGTCTGAGCTCTCTAAAATCACTTGAGCATCAAAAACTCAACCCCGATAAGCGTAATAGCGTAAAATGCTTAGCGAAGGAATTTACAAATCCCTTGGACAACAAGCGACAACTTAATGGGGTCGACGGTGCTGCGCTCTGTCGGGCCTTCGAACCCCTATAAGGTAACGCGATCCCGCCGGTCGCGAGAGGGACAGAGACAGCAGACGACGACAACGCCGCCAACGCAACGTGGGTGGGGGTCGTATAGTCCGTTGGGAGAGCTATTCGCAGCAGCGGTAGAGTAGAGTGCAACTGCGTGGTGATTATTCGCAGGGCGTGTTATCACTACTATGTTTTCATGTTATGGCGATAAATGCCGTTGTGGAATTTGTGAGGTTTTGTCAGTTTCCTCTCAATTTAATGTTACCCCGTTCCTCTTTTTTGTGAACTAAAGTTTATGTGGTTGAGTCCAATGATTCTAACTGCTTGTCAAGTGATATTTTCTTCAGGATAGGAACTTCATTTATACCCCTGATTTGGTTAAGGAACACAGTTGGCATTTCAGGTAGGTCTATTGCTGTCAATTGTATCCATAATCCATTTAACATTCTGCAAGCATGGCTTCTTTTAAAAATTCCGTATCTTTACAGGTTATTTTCTCATCCATTCTGGCACATAGGACCTAGTAAGTGGCTAGTCTTTGCGTGTCTGCTATCTCATACCTTCTTATCATGAGATTATCAAAGATATGACCTGCGCCTCCCTCTGATCTTACCACAAAGAGAGTCGGAGTTATTGTGTTAATGAAGACGTTTTGATTTACGGAGAGCTGCGTTACGCTCATTCTCAAATTTGTAAGAAAGAATGCCGAAGACATCTTTAAACAGTCACCAGGAAAAGGTAGATGGGTACAAATGTGAAATCTGTTCACTAACATTACCTCGCCTACATTCACTTCGCGTTCATCTTAGAGATGTCCACCAAGAAAATGCGTTTCAATGTGAAACGTGTGAAGAAAGGCTCCCATCACGCTCTTTGCTGAAGTCACATGCCAAGAAACATCTAATGGGAAATATTAAAGGAGATACATCTCTTTCTAATGTGCATGCTAGTCTTAAAAATCTACACCCACCAAAACGAAAACGTATAAATGTGAAACCTGTCAAGAATGTGCTGCAGTCTCGCCAAAAATGTATATTAAAGGATCTGAGCAGTGTGCAACGCAGCTGCAAGGCCAAGAAATTTGTTGACGGTGTAACAAATGTTTCTAATATGACACCAGAATGCATGGTTTCTGAAACTGATCCGTTAGAAAGTCAAGAATGTCATGATAACAATGCACCTTTTGTTTTGAGTGACCCCACTGCTGCAAAAGATATGATCTCGGATATGATATGCATCCCCAAAGAGTACCTTTTGATGGAGTTTAAACAGGAGGGAGACTCTTATGATGCACCCAATACCCCTGGTATAATTGTCTCAAATAGTGATGACATTTCAGTTAACACTTCCCATGTTCCCCCTGTATCAGGTGATGAGCAAAATATGACAGAAATGATAGAAGTCTTGAAAGTTGATGTAAACAATGAAACAGTGGATGAAAGTAGTCGTACAGAACTAAATGAAGATGTCGAAGTCATTGGAAGTGACAATAGTATGAAACAAGAACTACCTAATAATGATTCAGAACCTGTTCCTAGTTGTTTGCTAGCCTGTTCTCTCTGTAACGAAACTTTTTCAGATGAAATTTCACTTGCAACACATGAATCTTTGCATGACAGGCTATCTTCAAGTGATGGAGATGGACACGAGAGTGATAATGAACAGGATTCAAACTTGGGTATGCAAAGCCATGACTACCTCTCAAAGTTGAAGGGTACAGGAGAATTTACTTGTGATAAATGCCCAATATCTTTTCCTCGGCAACATATGCTGAAAATGCATGCTTTCAAAATTCATGGTGATAATCCCTTCCAGTGTCTTATTTGTGAGGAAAGATGCCCAACTCGACGGTCACTTACCCAGCATAAACAAGTTCATGTGGTGGATGGTGCTTTCAAATGTGAAACTTGTGGTGTAAGTCAAGCAAAGTATTCAAACTTTCTACGTCATTTGAAACTGCATTCTGGTACAAGAGACTACACTTGTGAATGGTGTGGTCAGTCATTCACAACATCTACAGTGTTAATACGGCACCGCCGTAGGCATACTGGAGAGAAACCTTACTCTTGTGATGTATGTGGAGAACGTTTTGCAAGGCTGTATGGTCTGAAAGTTCATCAAAGCAAGCATGTAGGAAGAAGTTATTTTTGTACTGAAGAAAACTGCTCAAAGGGTTTTTATTCCAAATCGGCTCTTAACAATCATCTGAAGTCACATCTTCCTGAAAGACCATATAAATGTGTGGCATGTGGCTGTGGCTTTTACATGAGTTCACATTACAAGGACCATCTAAGAAAACATACTGGTGAAAAACCATTTGTGTGTGAAGTATGTCGTAAATCATTTGCCCGAAAAGCAGAGCTAGTTGTGCACGTTCGTGTTCATACTGGTGAACGACCCTATGTTTGCAGCGATTGTGATAAGGCGTTTAGCTCTCTCACTGCATTGAAGCACCATTCACTAACCCATACTAGAAGCAGAGAAAATAAATGTAATGAATGTGGGAGGGTTTTCAAAAATAAAGGTGCCCTTAAGAGACATGTTAAATGTACACATAATTCCAACAGTTCTGATGAAAGTGGTGATTCATTCTCTTTATACTTAAGTGATGAGGAAGAGGAAAATAATGTTGACTCTCCTGAAAGTCTTACAGAGGGTGGAGAACCTGAAAACCATGATAAATGTGTGGACAGTGAGAAAGGTGAAGTTGACAAGGTCTAGAATTTTAATGAATAGATATGATAATAATGATTTGTAAGGGTGGTGCACAGGTATCACATTGTAACTGAGGAGTGTATAGTATTTCTGCCCCACCTAATATTTTGAATCAGCTTCTTGCTGTTTCAAATTTTTGTGATAAAACTAGCTTGCAGTACAAGAAATTATTTTAGGTCAGTATCATTCATTTTATTTGCAAAATTTGTACAAAGTATATATTAATGTAATGGTATTTTCATCTCAATAAAGCATATACAAACAAATATACAATAAATGTGCCAATTAATTTCTGTTTGAAACAAAGGCAATCCTAGCGACACAAAAATTCTAATTCATCACACAAATTGCCCGCAATCATGATTGTGCACAAATTAATGTTCAACAGAGCAGTCTTAAAATACTGAAGTACAAACAAACATTTAGTCGGTTTAAAGAGATTCTCTCCGCCCAGCCAAATTTTGGACTAACACACCGGGCGCAATTACGATCTAGAAGCTTGAGAAATCTGCAATACTGAGTTTGGAAGCAACCGTTGGAAGTCGGATTTAGGAGCTACTGCGCGCACAGCACTTCGTACTCGTTGAAGGCCAGCTCCTTGCCGCCGTAGGGAATGTAGCACACAGCGTGCGTCTCTTGCACCTGAAACCAAAGGCCAATGAGTGACCGGTCGCTTTAACAGGCCGAAGATGGTCGCGGAGTCGGTGCCTGGAAGCCTGGAAGCGAGGCCTACCTTCCCGACGCACATGACGCCGTTGTGCGTGGCCCTGCCCACGAAGAGGGGCTCCACGCCCTCCGTCTCGCCGGCGGGGAGCGCGCCAGGGGGGATGCGGCCGTCCGTGGCGGGCAGCCACACCGGCTCGCAGTTGCACAGGACCTGGCCGGACCGCCAGAATCAAGGGTCAGTCCGAAATCCAAAAATGCTAGTGGGCGTCCGAAGAGTACCTCACCTGGTACTCGGTCTTGGCCTGCTCCACGCCGCCCCAGGGCACGTAGCACATCTGGTGCGAGGGCTGGACCTTGCCGGGGATGATGTCGCCGGCGTGGCGGGCCCTGCCGACGTACAGCTGCTCGCCGTTGTCGAAGCCGGCGGGCACGGCGTTGGGCGGCACCACGCCGTGGCTGCAGTCCACCCACGTGGCGCAGCCCTTGGCGCCGTCCACGGCCCAGCCCGGCAGCGCGCCCGCCGCCATCTGCGCCGGCGGCGCGGCTGGAACGGAAGGGAAGGACTCGTTGCAGTCGGATGCCGAGCAGTTCGTCACCTCTACGAGAAAGAAGGGTGGTGGCACTCACACGGCCTGGCGTAGAAGTCGGGCCGCTCCGCGCAGCACACCCTCCACTTGCCGCTGGCGCCCCACGCCGTGCGCACGCCGAAGTGCGAGATGCCGAACGGGCTGGGGTCGATCCACTCCATGATGACGTTGCCGGTGGCGTCCGTCACGCGCACGTGGCCGTTCTTCCAGGCCACGCAGAAGCGCCGGAACTCGCCCTGGCTCAGCAGCGCCGGCGTGTTGGCGCGCACCTGCAGACGTGAACGCGGTGAGATTCCCTTCACTTCAGACGGACTTCGCCCCGCTGCTCCAGGACGAGTACCTTGTCAGGCTTCTCCCTGCGGTACCGGATGACGGACGCCATGTTCTCCCAGCCGCCCAGCAGCACCTCGTACATGGGGTCCGAGTCGCAGGGCCCGCAGGTGAGGGCCAAGTGCGCGTTGTGGGGGCTGCACACCTCCACGTTGAGGCAGCCCTGCTGCACGTGGTGCCAGTTGTACTCCAGCTTGTCCTCCGTGTCCACGCGCTTGCTGCTGTCGCCGTCTGCACAGGAGATTAGCATTAGTAGTCGCCAGCCCTACACTGCCCCGAAGGGAATGTAGGCCTCTAGCCCAAGAGAGCCTCCATCCTCCGCCGCGCAAGCCCTGACGTAGGATGGGCTGCCTACCCTCCGGGCGGTCCACGCGCGGCGGTGCTTGCCAGGGCGAGGTCCTAGTGATTCTTCGACTCACCCTCGATGTACCAGGTGCCCGCGGCGCCCCAGCCGGTGCAGATGCCGTAGTGGCCGATGCCGAAGGGCTCGGGGTCCTTGTAGGACAAGAAGGGCTGCGCCTGGCCCTCCTTGCCGACGTCCAGGTCGCCGTGGATCCAGCGCATCCAGAAGCCTCGCGGCTCGGACGCGCTCAGGATGCCGGGGGTGTCCACGATGGCCACCTCGGGCTTCTGCTTGTTCTTGCGGATGGCGGACTTGCTGTTGCCCCAGCCGCCGATGAAGATCTGGAGGACAAAGCGGCTTTTAGCAGCGAAAGAGGAAAAGCACGCGGTGGCGGGTGGGTCGCGAACCCGCGACCCCGGCTCACCTCGTACAGCGGGCCGGTCTCGTTGGGGCCGGCCGTGAGGGCGATGTGCGCGTCGTTGGCAGCCTGCACCTTGAACAGGATCGAACCCGCGGTGACCGACAGGAAGGTGTACTCCATGCGGTCGGGGGTCTCGAGCTCTGTAACAATGCCGACGACACAGATGCCCGTCAGTCAGCCACGCCCTTTTCGTCACCCGTTCATTTCTATGAGAACCGGCGACTGTTTATTTTGGTGGGTGACCAGAGCAGCTGCTTATGTGTGAGCGCGAGCCGACGCCCCCCTGGGCCGCGTCCGAAACGCGTCCCTACTCCGCCTCCGCCGTGTCCGCCGCGCACTGCTTGGCGGCAATTTCGCACGCCGCACTTCGCGGCCCGGTGCCATGACGTCATGGCTCTCGTGTCGACGGCGAGGCCGCCAGCGCCGCCAGCCAGTGCTGTTTACACCGGCACGACACGGGCCGAACGCCTTGACTGCCGAATCGCCATCTGTTGCGGGGAATGCCTGGCCAGCGGAAAACCGAACGGCGGCGGCGTTTCAAAAGCCGCGGACGCGAACACGCGAACGCGCCCAGAGTGGCAACGCGGTACCGCCCTGCAGCCTGCAGCACAAGCAAGGCGCTAAAATAAGAATCCGGCCGAAACCGTCGAGGGGCGTTTCGTGAGGCGTTCCGCGGCCGCGGCGTGGAGACGCGGTCCCCGCGAAGGTCAACACTATTTCCCGGTGGTTGCAACTAGTTGCAACGCATGCGTTATCGGACACCTCGCCCCACCCACGCGCTGCTTAGCGCTGCTGAGTTGCATCAGCATGTGAATCACAGTCACACTGGTGGAATGCTATTCCAGCAGGGACAGGCAGGATAGTACTGGCTGGACAACAAAGATGACAGCCACTGTCGGAATCGGGAATCGGGCACCTTAGCCGCCATGGCAGATCCACAGGTCAGTCTACTAACTGGCGGGACTTCCCTGTGGCCAGCGCTGTAGGTCACGCAGCTTCCTGGGGTTCTGTTGGGCTACAGAAGCGGAATACTCACGGTAATGTGGCTGTGCCATGGTGTCGGAGGGCTTAGAGCTTCGTGTCGGGCGCGGTCAAGTGAGACAGTCGACTGCGCCTCGCCGGTGAGCCGAGCCAAGCCCCCAACCACGTCGGGCAGCCGGCTGAAGGAACAGCGTTCGCATCCGAGGTGCCGCACTGGCTGCCTCACTCCTCACTCTTCCCGGTCCCCTCCCTTCCCCTTCCACTAGCCCATCTTGACGCGCTTCGCACGCGACCGCGGCGCCAGGGAGGGGAAGGGGGGCGTGAGGGGCGTCGCGGGGGGCACCGCGGAGGGGGTCCGCGCGCGGCGGCGAAACCACGGGCTCAGCGGACAGACGGGCCGCGGACGGGACGCGGGACGAGCGTGGCGTGTTCCTAGTGACTCACTCCTGAAAAAAGGAGAAGGGGACTCGGGGCATGGCGCAATGCAGGTCACCACACTTTGAACATATCAGGAGGTCCGAGGTCCCGACATATCCTCCTGGCGGGAATTTTCCCGCGAAACAGTTTATTGGCCCGGTCTCTCAAATTTCAAAGTTGTTTCGCCCCTCGCCCCAATTTCACGTTTACTACACGATCTGCCTCTTGCCAGACGCACCCAAGGCTCCAGCCGAAATCACAAGGAACGACCACTGAAAGTGGCCTCCTTCTTCCAGCAGATAAATCTCACAGTTCGTTCAAAAATATCCTTCCAGAAAATGAAACTACAAATCAAAATTACAGCCCCTTCAAAGGAAACGGGGAATCGACTTGTCGTGCGAATAAGGGGTACGTTATAGGCAGTGACGGCAGTAGTGAGATATCCGCAGGGCGCCACTGCAGTTGTTTCGAGAAAACGGAAGAAAGACAAAATGGCGATGAAAATCAAGACAGAAATCAAGGTGAGAAAACATTTGGTGCCCATTTTAAGCCTCGTTTGTGGGTTGCTACGCCTGCTTTGTCCTTTAAAGATTGCTGGCGTATTGATATTCACCAACCCGAATTGAAAAGCCTCAAAATATTACGGTTAGAGATCAGAATAAGGCCGTTGTTTGTGTCGAAAGTGGGCTGCGTACCGATACGCATTTAACTAGTTTTACTCAATCTGCGTTAATTCTCTCCTTTCTGCTGCTCGTTCTTTATCGAATACTTTGCTCGTATTGTTGAAAATGCGAATGTACGGTCCCAATCTCTCTGTTCAATCGTCAGCCACCGTTGGCTGTCTTGTTATGTGTTGTCCTTGCTTCTCTCTTTTCAACCAGATTGTTTGCGATTTACGGTTAATCATCTCTTGGAAGCTCCCTTTATCCAGATTAACTTTTCATCCTACGATTGCGTGTTTACTGTTTACAAGATTTATTTTCCCTTTTACTTTTCTTAGTTAACCTGCTAGTGTGACCTTTCGCTGTTCTGCTACTGCTCTTGTGTGCATTAACCAATAATTTTCTTTTTTCCTTCTCTAGATGGAATTTCCTGCAGATGATGACGATGATTTGGATTTGGATGCATTACGTTTAGCTGCACTTTCAACTTTAAAGAAGACATTGGCACCAAGCCGAAGCACTCCCACCACACACAACAATGCCGCAGGAGGTCCCAGAGTCAAACCCATGGGCGGCCTTCATCCACCCCAGAATAGGGGTCGTGGCAGAGGTATCATGAGAGGTGGCAGAGGAGGAACTAGAGGGGGTAGAGGAAATTTCACCCCTTATCACAATAATAATCAGGTTAGATTTATTTTTCTATTCCGTATTCTTATAATGGTCTTGGCGTTAATTTTATTTTTAATGAAATGAATTTTTGTTTGCAGAACTTCTTTCCAATTAGACCTTCAGGTAATAGCAATCTTATTACTATAGTTCCTACTGTACCTGATGAACCCGAAACATCCAAAGAAACTCTGCGTCAAGGTTAGTCTTTTGTTGTGACTATTTTATTTCAATATACTGAAATGAAAGTGGATTTAAAAGATAATTGAATGTTTGTTTGCAGGACCGAAATCAAATCCTACCTTTTCTGGAAGTACTGTAGCTGATTCTACTCTTCATGAAGAAGAGAAAGGTACTGTATTTGGTACACCCGAGAACATTTTGACAATGTTTAAATTTAGTGTTACTATAAAACATTTTTCTTTTGGTTTTAGTTCCTGCCAAATTCAGACGAGTTGATGATGATTCTGAGTCAGATGAGTCAGATGACGATACTGACTTGAAGGCTGGATCTAATGGTGAATCAAGTGAAGAAGATGAAGAAGAAAAAGAAAAGAAGAGTGGGAACACTGATAATGAGTCTGAGAAAGACTCTGATCCGGTCTCAGCGCAGCAACATGAAGATGAGGTAAGTTTTACTATCAGCTTTGGTCTTATGATACATCAGTAATTTGCTAATAATATTCTTGTTTTATCTAGGGTGACACTAGCCTGGAACGATTGATGCAAGAGCTTGAAGATGAAATAAGTGATGCACCCAAAGACAAGAAACCAGTATTATCTGCCAAAGATAATTCTAATGTGGAGAAAATGCCTCATGTGAAAAAAATCAAGAAGGAAAAAGTCAAAACAGAAAGACCAGACAATGAAAACAATGTTGCTGATGACAGTTTAACTTTTGACAAAGTGGGTGGCCTAGCCAATCAAAGTATACCTGAATCGAATGAGATTCATCAAAGAAAGCCATCACCAACTCAGTCAAGATCTCCACTTTGCTATGATCCTGTGTCCAGGGACCCGTCCCCTGAAAGCTCCAATATACCTCACAAGCACTCCTCTTCTGCAAGACCGCATTCTCCACAAACCTCAAGATCACCTCTGAGGTATAGATCACCTCTGAAATCCAGATCTCCGCGATCTCGGTCTCGGTCGCCTATCCAGTCAAGATCACCCCTGCGGTCGCCCCGGAGGTCGCCCCGGAGGTCGTTGTCTCGCTCTCCCCGGAGGTCTCCCCCAAGAAGCCACGCGGCTACCGCACGCTCGCCAGCCTACGTCGGTCGCCGTAGCTCGCGGTCGCCCCTCCGGTCGCCTCTCCGGTCGCCTCGGAGGTCCCCGCTGTACCTCCCGCCCAGAGCCAGCTCGCCAGGAAGGCTGCCTCCGCTGCGGAGCAGGTCGAGGTCTCCGAGGCTCGTGCGCCGCTCCCGCTCCCGGTCGCGATCCCCACTGGGCACCCAGCGCCGGCCCGCGAGTCCTGCCCGCCGCTTGCCTCCACTGAGGCGGAGTCTGTCTCGGTCGCCAGGAGGCCGTCTGTACATGACGAGGCGGTCTCGGTCGCGGTCCCCGAGGCGGTCCCCATCACCAAGAAGCAGGCGCTCGCCTCTCTATGTGAAGAAACTGTCGCCTAAACGCCGATCAGTGTCCCCAAGGCGGAGATCCATCTCTCCGAGGAGGAGATCCATTTCACCAAGAAGACGGTCCATATCTCCAAGAAGGCGGCCTCTTTCACCGAGGAGGCGGGCCGGGTCTCCAAGCTGGAGCAGACTTTCGCCAGCAAGGAACCGCAGTCCAGTGGGATCATTTAGTCAAAGACCACTGTCACCAAGGCGGAGGTCACCTTATGGAGACGCATACCCTGCTCGCAGGTCCCCTAGTCCACCGGCTAGAAAGTACTCACCACCTCCAGTTCACAGAGGAGCCTCACCTCAAAGAAGTTATAGATCGCCCTCTCCTGTACCTCGTTCCACTTTAAGGAGGAGGTCTCCTGCACCTACCACTGGACCTCCAAGACGTGTGTCTCCTCCTTCCTTCAGACTCTCTCCGGCCAAATCATCAAACCGAGCTCCAGCATCACCTATTCGTGTCAGAGATAAGCCAAGACAGCTCTCACCTCTGCCTTCTGTTTCAAGAACTGTTCAGCGTGTTCCTTCACCTCGTAGACAGAGGTCTCCAGTGTCTTATTCTCGGGGCCACCATACAAGCAAAGCTTTGAGCCCTGTTCGACGGGTGTCTCCCAATGCCCACAAGTTGAGGAGATCTCTCTCACCTCACAAGGATATGGTTGCTCCAGCATCGGGCAGGGATACGAGTCCCAACGACAGCATTAGCCTCAGTCCTTCTCCTGAGCGTTTGCCTCAAACTAAATCTGAAGAGAGAAACAGAGGAAGAAAATCTCATCCTCTGGGTGAAAATCATGTTGAGTCAAAGAGGTCTCATAGTGATCTAAGAAATGTGCTACCTAGAAGGAAAGATGTAGCCAAAGAAAGTGAACCAAATGTAGCAAGCCGTTCAGAAGAACTCACAAAGAAGGAAAAGAAAGAACGAAGACGTGCTAAGCGGGAAAAGAAAGAGCATAAGAGAGAATCTCATCAGAACTCAAGTAATGTTCTAGAAGCTAGAAGAAGGAAATTTGAATCTGGTGGCCCTGTTGAAATATCCAGTAAGAAGATACGCCTTCGTAATATGCTTTCTGAGCCTGCTGATGCAGAGGAACAAGAAATAGATAGTACTGAAGTAGAAGTAAACATAGAAAAGGAAAAGGAACGTGAATTGAAAGAAGCAAGCGAGGTTGATGAAAGCATTTTGGACAAAGAACTGATGGGTGGAGTTGACCTCCTTTGGTCAGATGAAGAAGAGGAGGAAGAGGAAGAAGAAGAGGATGACAATGTGGAGACCCCTGCTCCAGTCAGCAATGTTCAATTCAAACGCACTTTCAACATGCCTTCTGGAAGTGGCAGCAGTGGTAAAGAAAACATTCCCGAAGATAGCATTGGTAAGTCTTTTCAGGATCCATTATCAACTTTATTTACTTGATCCAATTTGTTGAATGTAACAATTTTACTGTTCTTTTAGATTCCAAGAAGGATGATGAAAATCCCACAAGTACAACGGGCTCACCACCTGGTAATGAAAATGGGGATGAAGATTCTGCTGAGGAGGAACGCTATGTGAGTGACATAAGTGGAGATGAACTTCAGCCTGATGAGGAGCCTCAAGACAATTGGCCAAAAACAAATAGAGAACTTAAAGAGTACATAATAAGCCAAGCCAAGGGTACTGTTCAAGCCCGTCCCCCAAAATCATCGAGAAAAGAATCTTCAATCAAAAGAAAATCAAATGAGTCAGACGATCTTCGTGCTGAGCTGAGTAGGAGACGAGCTGAAAGGCTAACCAAGGTAAAAATCTGTTGTTGTTTTTTTTTTGTCTGCTTTTATATTTTTATTTGAATGCCCTATAAATATCCAGAGTAAACCAATTACGTCAACAATAATGATAATCTTGTCTTTTCAGACAAACTGCCCAGAAGTACCAGAGCGACTTCTCCAGTCGGCTCTCCAAGGAGTTGGAGTGTGAGTAATCCCATGAAACCAAAAGTTTCCATTTTACTGAGTCTGTTTCATACTTCCATTTGGTTAGCAAGAGCTTATATTTCAATGAACCTTCCAGGAAACCTCGCCGAGATAAGAGTCATCGCCGAAGAACAAGATCTCCATTTGAAGATAATCTAGGTAATTCTAAAATATCCATATTTGTGTGTTCACTTCCCTGTTTAGAAAAAGATGTATGTTCTTTTTGTGGTTTGGTGTGCAAGTGCCTCAGAGCAAATGTCATTTTTCATGAATTGTACCTGAAAGATTTAAGATTAACTGTTTAAGGAGCTGCCATTGGTTAAAAGCCCATTTACAAGACAGTATTGATACTAGTTTTATATCACTGTGTAATTTTCTAGTATCTTTGAATTATACTAGAGAGAATGCAAGTTAGAGCTCTAGTCTGAATGTTTGGGAAAACTGGTGTGTTGCTTAAATGTGGTCATGTGTGTTCTATTTGTGCACGCTACTGCCTTTTTGCAGACCAGCAAGAGAGTGATGGGCGGCGAGTGCTGGTTTTAAGACGGGCAGCGGAGCAGAAGGAGCCTGCTATCAACATCACCATATCAAAAGGTGTGCGGGATTGCCTTCGCTCTCTGCTAATGTTTAACATCTGCTGGTTATTCAAATTTTCCCTTCTATTTAACGTTGGTGTTTGTCCAAAAATACATTTTTTAAAAGTGTTATATAGTGATGGAGTAGGTAGGATTTGTAGAACTTGAAACCCAATGAGCTGTTGCTCAATGTATAGATTTTTATTTTTAAACAAATTTTGTGTATTGGATTTGTACTTTGAAATCATTGTGGAAAATGTTTCTCCAACCATCAATTTTTTTTTTCCTGTAACAGCAAATATGACTTTTAAGGGCATCTCTCATTATCTTACGTATTGTGTTACTTTGCAGTGGAGTCGTCAAAAGATAGCAGTTCTCTGAAGATGGGTGGAAAATTACCAATTCATATGAGACTTGGGACAGGCAAGAAAAGTGATGACAGCCCGAAAAAGGTGAAACTTAAACGCAACATCACTGTTGGGAGAAAAAAGCAGGTATTGTGTTATTTTAATTACGTATTATGCTTACTAAGGTTTATGGTGCTGTTGCATGCTTGTGGCTTAGAACAGCCCATTATAAGTGGTAAGTTTTGTACACATTGTGGGCTAACAAACAAACCAGCTACTTCATTCAAAGATATTGAGTATTCTCTGTTTTATATCTGTCTTGATTTACATTGCTACTTTTAAGTAAAAAATGTTATCAAAGCAACATACAAACAAACTGTCACAGTTGTTTGTTGAGCTTTGCATTTCCAAACAAGCAAAGTTAAAAGTTGTACTATTTGAAAAGGGCTGTGTGTTCGCATCCCGTTGTATTCAGTTCCTATTTTAGTGAATCTTTGATGCAAAATTCAAATTGACTGATTGATTGATTGATTGCTTTTCATATTTCCTTTCTTAAAAAAAAAAATGCCAGGAACTAATCACAACACATGTTGATTGTTTCTTCTGTTACTTGAAACTTTAAAATTTCCTATGTACCCAGTATTGTGTACCACTTTTAGTTGGAATCAGCTAAAAGGGGGAAAAAAGGAAGGATCTTTCTGCTCATAAGTACTCCAAAGTATACTTAGCCCGAATTCGCATTTTAGATCATGAAAGTTGCTTTTCGTTTTCATGAAAAGAAGCTTTTTATTATGAACCTATATGGTATGTGAAAGCTGGATCGCCTTCGTAAAGTAAGATTGACTTGTTTACATATTTCCTAGTATCTTTTCCCCAAATTTTTAGTTGGTTTTGGAGGTGTGATAAAATTGGACATTCTCCACCTACCTAAAATACTGTGATATTTTCTTTTTGTTCTCCTATTTTTTACCTTTTTTATTTAACTAGTGTCTGCTAGTAAATCTAACTGTATACCTTTTTAACAGTTTTACTTTCAATTTTTATCTTATTTGTGATATCTGAGGGTCTATTTCTATTTCAGGTTTTTATTTGAAAACCTAAGTTGCATGTAGTATTTTATCACCAAGTTGAAAGTGTTTTGTTTAACTTGCTGTTGATTGAAATAGAATGTACGGGTCATGATACTTTTCATAATATGTTACTTCCACCAACTCTTTTTTTTTATTATGTCTCAATTTTTAGTGGGGTTTTTCTGTATCAAATGGATTGAAAAAGATGGGCAAAACAGTTGAACAATGTGGAGATGTTGCCTTTGAATTGACACAAGGGGTTTCATCACTATTGCCGCTTTATTCGTTTTGGATCTACAATCAAAAATATTCCGAAGCACCTATTCTGGTTCTCAATCATGATTGTGTGATATTAGAGACATTTCTTCCACATTGTTTCATCTATTTTGTTTTTAATTGTAAGAGTTCTATGATTGATTTTGAGTTAACATGCACTTCTTAAAAGAATCTACATTTGTGTAAATGCAACTGTGATTTGTGTAGGGTTTCTTTTGCAGGTTTGTTAACCACTCAATCCTTCATTCAGTGAAATTATCATAAATATGTTCAGTACCTGATTATTTCCATTCAAATTTCTTTTTAAAAGTGTTGTGTTTTTTGGAATTTGGAAGAAAACTGTCCCTGGATATGCTTCAAAACAGCTATTTTCCCTTATTCTTGATGTAGCTTGTGTTGACCAGGCTGTGAACCAAATGAAACTCTAAACCAACTTATTGATTCCATTCAGTGGTACTTCATCTTAGGTTGTTCCATTTCATGCTAAAATATGTAGGGTCTGTTTTTTTCAAATCACATACAATGGTATACAAATTGATGTGCAGTGACCTTGAATCTGTGCTTTACGTTGCAAAGCATGTTCCCTGTTACTTCGAGATGGCTGTGTTCATTTACCTCAGTTCTAGCCTTTCTGTAATGTTCAATGTGATGAAGTGCCACAACAGTATCTTTCATTGTAATACGAATCCAGCGACTATGCTGGGTTTCCAGAAATAGATGTAGATAGACTACAACATCTATCTTAATGACAATTTCTTTAAATTTTTCAAACATCTGAAGTATAATTGATGGGCAGGGGGGTGTTTGATAAAACCAGTCACAGAATGAGAATTTTCTTTAACTCTTTTGCCACATCCTTTCCTGCATACCCTCTTTCCACTTTGTGCCGGAAAATGTTTTTTCGGCTTGTCCTTTCCAATTAGTGTATCCTGCCTGTGTAGAGTTACCACAAAAAGAACTAATGCCCAGTCCATTCATGTTCAAGTTTAGTATGATGCAGCTTTGTAGTTATTTGAGGCTGGATTCAGTATTTGTTTGGTACATATTTTTAACTTAAAACGCGATTTTACTTACTAATGTAAAATTTATACAGTGTATGAAGCCCTGTAAATATTACTGCCACTTGCACATGTTTGTGTGATGTTGAAACCAGGTACCATTCAGAATGACTTCATCGTTTCCTCCACATTAACTATGTCTGAATGAAAATGCATGTGTGTGATAGCTCTTTTGATGGCTTATCAACCATCTAATAATTGTGTCAGATGTTTCTGTGGCAAAGAGTAGCATGATTTCTTGTCAGGAGCTAACGTACAGTGATACTCCTGGTCAATTCTTATTTCATTATTTGTAGAAACTCTTCTTTAAACTCGTTAAAACTTGCCCATAATATGAACAAATGAATTAAAGAACTGGGATTTTGAGTGTCAGATCCCCTCTCTCATACATGCTATGATTATGAAGGAGTACATGTTTTTTATGTCTGATGATTATTGGACTTTTGGGTGTCTATTTATTTGTTACGTGATGAAGTGAACATTATCACCCCAATTTGGACCCTTCAAATTTTCCCTCCCTATCAATTTGTTTTGCTCAAATTTTTTGAGGTCTTTTCTTATCTTTTATTATCTGTGATAGATTTTTCATGTCATGAATTCATTCTATTTTCACAAAATTATTTGCTCTACTACCTGTAAAGTGTGGTTTTCTTCGGGCCTTTGCTCAATTTTTAGTCTTGATGGGAATATAAAGATTTATTGCCGTTGGTAGTCCCCATAATCATTGTCCCTTTCTTCGATCTTGGTATACATCATCAAACATGCTTTAATGACTGTCTTTTCAGAAATTGTGATATCTACAGTGTATGTGTTTTTAAATGTTGTGATACTGTGGTGCTTGTTACCTATCTGTGATGAAGTTGAGTCATGTCTGTCTTTTCAAAAATGAATAAATGGTAGAAAAAGAAAAAAAAGAAAAGAAAAAAAAGAAATTGCTAGTCATCAGCATACTTGTAGTCAAACGACATGTTAATGAGCACTCCGTTATAATGTGGCCAATTGCTTATTTCCATTTCTTTCGATTTGCGATATAGAATGGTACATTTGGAGCAGCTTTTTGTTTTTCTAGGTAAAAATTGTCCTCAATAATATCACTCCCAAATTTTTAATATCTAGAATTTTTTTACCTTGTCTGCTGTTTTATGTGTCTTTTTTTAACTGTTACAAATGTACATTCATTAAAAATATTGTGCTGATGCTAGCAAAAAAAAAAAAAAACATACAAATGAAAAAAAAAAAGATATGAAAGAAGTCTACCAGTGCACTAAAGTGCATAACAAAGCACCAGATTAACTGTTAAGGTGAACTCAACTTACTTCTATGTGAATTAATTAGTTGTTTCTTCTGTGAATGGCATTGTTCAGGTGTAACCTGTTGACCGCTCCTACCTGTCAATATTCAGAAGAAACAGACATACAGGGATGTCTTCTTATTGACTGCAAGTGACCTTTCAAAAGACAGTTGTTTGATTGAAACATTTGCTCACAAGACCTTGGAACAAATGGAATCGTCGGTGGACATCGATGAATGCACTCACCGTTTGATTTATACTTCACAAGAAGAAGGACTGTTAGTGTTACTTATGTGTGGAAATTACTTTTTTTATCCTCCCTCTCTCTTTTTTGTTGTTTGTAATTCTAGATTACATTTGCATTTATTAATTAAACATCTTCTGTCAGCACTCCGTGTGAAAATTGAGAAACTAACTTCATCCATGTTTTGTGTTAGATTCTTTTCTTCCTCCCCTATTTTGCTCCGTTCTATTTGCTAGTGTTTTTGGTTAGGAATAATGTGATACTGTTTTGTTGAATTAAAGTGGTGTTTCTTCACTATATTATTTGGGGTATGTAGTATGTTCATTTGAGGAATAGCAATACATCCTGTCTTGTTTATCATTTTATCGAAGAGTATGCCTAGTCGTTCCATTGTAGAGTTTGCCCTTCCCTTCCCATTCCTCCACCCCATTATCTTTCTTCCAATGGGACTTATTAATTTGATTAGTGGCTATATTGTGTTCTGTTGCACAGTTGTTTTTATTGATCTCTTTTTATCATAAATTATCATCATCTATGAAAATAAATAATGAAAGCATGTAGTTTCATTCATTGTTTCAAGGGTCTGAATTAACTTGTTCATACAGTGTTGTATAAAAAAGTTGTACATTTGTAAAATGTAAAAATTATACTTTTCTATTGAAATGAATCTACTGTTGTCATTTCCCCCCACCTTACAAACATCTGTCGATTTCATAATGCAGATAGCAACCATGATAATGAGACGAGCTAATGAAGTGAACATAGTAGAATACTACAGGGAGAGATCAATTTTCTTTGGACTGGGTGGAACGGTGGAGAGCCTTTTGCCACCAAGCTGACGCTTTCGAACCTGTCGTATGTGGACGCGTTTCATGTCGAGGATTTCTTTCATTTCCTCTTTATCTTCTCCCTGTAAGAAAATGCCAAAAGTAAATAAAACTGAAAAACTAACACACTTTTTACTAAAAATTACGAAATCCTCGTGCGGCGTGTGCCGCTTGATAGGCAAGGCAGCCCATCGGATGCCTCCATGAGCAGTAAAATTAGAGTAGAGGATGGCACTAAAAGTGGCCGGGGCCGGGAGTTGAACCCACCGTCTGGTTGAGCCGAAGGACGAGCGCGCGCCTGCCGTCCGACATGGGCTGCGAGTACCACATGAGCTTGCGCAGCCGCTCGGCCGGGTTGACGCCTCGTTCCACCACCAGCACGATGCGCGCCCACTGCCGCTGCCACTCGTTGCGCGTCTCGGCGATCTTCTGGTACGTGTTGCCCATCATGGCGATCAACATGTTGACCAGCAGGATCGCCACGATCGCCATGAACACCACGAACAGAATCTGCAGCAGCAACGCAATCATTCAAAAACGGCACAGCCGGCGGGGATCAAAAGTGAATGGGCCGATCCTACTTTGGCCTCGATTTCGTGGTCCGTGCGCTCGAACGCGCCGTAGTAGTCCCCGAAGTTGGTGAGCGACATGAGGAACATGGCCATTATGGACTCTGACGGGGAAGGCATGGGGTTGGTGACGGTGTCGTCCACGCCGTCGGGGGTCAGGGGGTTGTCGAACGAGAGGAAGATGATGTAGTACGCTGCAATGGAGAGCGGAGGGTCGGTGGTCATTACTGTACCACAGTTTGGCCTCGTCGAACAGCGGCATGATCGAGTACCTTGCGAGAATCCCATGACAAACACGAGGTAGATGGTGACGAACCGCAGCAAGTCTCCCATCACCATGCGGTAGATCATGACGACGAACGGACCCACCGTCTTGAACCCTCTGCAAACACAAGCAGCGTCACACGGGGCAGTGCGGGAAGGGTCGCCTGCCCTCGTCCCCACAGGAACACACCCACCTGCAGAAGAAGAGGAAGTACGGCGAGGTGGTGAGCATGATGATGACGGCCACGATGTCCTCCTTCTGCTCCTCGCAGGCCACCCGCAGCCAGGGCATGCTCAGCATGCACAGGCACGAGAACAGGAACATGACCCTCGACGGCGCCGTCATCTGCGACACAGAGTGCACCGCGTTGAGCGCGACAGGGCACAGCGCGTGCCGCGGCACCGGACTGGCCGACCCACCAGGTTCTCGATGAACATGTGCAGGCCGAGGAAGCGCGCCTCACGCAGCGCGGCCAGGATGTAGAGCACGGCGCCGCACGTGAGCAGCACCTCGGCGATGATGCGCACCGCGGCCTGGCGCGAGTTGACCTGCAGCAGGCGGCACGTGCCCGACGTCTCGTCCCACCACTCCTCGTCGTCGTCATCGTCGTCCTCCTCCTCGGCCTCCGCGCGCGCCAGCGGCTGTGCGTGGATCGGGGAGGGTAGAATCTCTCACATGCCGCCGAGTTCAGAGTCAAAGCAGTCAAGGCTCACCCCGGGGTCGTGCTGCCGCGGCCCCGTCGTCACGAAGTCCACCGACATGTCCACGGTGGCGTCGTCGTCGACACCCGTCGTCGGCGTGCTGGTCGGCCCTCCGGCCGCGAGGCGCGTGCTCTGGGTGGCGTTGGGGGTGGGGCCCCACGACGACGCGTTGCCGCCGGACGTGTTGTTGTAGTCCGCAGAGGCCAACAGCTGCTCCAGCGCCTCCATCCGGACGAGCTGCTCCAGCCGGGCCGTGAGGACGGGGCTGGTCACGATGGGCATGTCTGCAGGCACGGCAGCCGGAGCTGAGTCAGTTCTGCACCACTTTTTGGAAATTTTAATTGTTTAGCAAAACTTTCTACCCGTGGGGCCGATGGTGCTGCCGTTGATCCCGGCCGTCGAGTTCTGCACCGAGGAGGTTCGCGGGGGGCCGGGCCTCAGCGTGAAGCACACCAGCGAGATGAGGAAGTACACCACGAACTGGAAGAACTGGCGGTAGAACCTGCGAGACAGACAGCAAGCGTAAGCTGTGGCCTGAAATCCGCCACGATGTCCATGAACAGCACATCTCACCGGAACTTGACGAACGCGTTCCACTTGGCGTTGAGCAGGTCCACGAGGACTCCCTCCATCAGCTCGAGATGCTCGTTGGAGTCCTGCGAGAAGGGTGACGGAATGGGTGAAGTGTCGGCGGAAGTGTCGAAACAGACTTCAAACTCACCCCGAAGACGACTAAATTGAGCGCCGAGTCCTTGTTGATGTTGCCGGTCTGGATGTCGATGGTATCGATCTGGGACAACGGGTAGGCCGCGCACGTCACGCTGCCTGCCGACACACCGTTAGGCTGGAGGTTAGGCCTGGCTTCACAAACGAACACCCCTTACTGCAGCCCTCACACTGACCGATCTGCCAGTAGATCTCGCGCTCGATGTTGAGGATGTGGAAGAACATGTCCCTGCGCGGCAGCTTGGCGGCCAGGGTGAGCGGCGTCAGGTTGAGCACGTTGCGCACCGCCAGGGAAGACCCCATCTCGTAGGCCACGTCAAACATTTGCTACAAAACCAAAATTAGTATTATTTTGAACTGTCCTTTAAAAAAAAAGGAAAATTGCAACGAAAGGAGTACGCTACCGGGTTCTTCCAGATGACCAGCATGTGCAGCACCGTGTTGCCGTTGGTGTCCTGGTTGTCGGGGTTGGCGCCCCTCGCCAGGATGAGGCGGTAGCACTCCTCCTGGCCCAGGCACGCCGCGAAGCTCAGCGGGTACTCGCCCCAGTAGACGTACCTGCACGGCCGGAATGTGGGTCAAGGGTCCGCCGCGGCAGCAACGCCATTTCGTGGAGTGCAACCTGCCCCACCCCACCCCACTCACCCCTCGTAGTTGGTGAGCGGGGTCACGTTGACCCACTCGTGGTCCAGCGAGTCCGTGCGCGAGGCCTTCTGGTCCTCGGGGCTCATGAAGTTGCCGTAGCAGCGCTCGTGCACGTCGGAGTTGGCGTCCAGCAGGAACTTGACCATGGACGGGTCCTCGTTGACGATGGCGATGTGCAGCAGCCCCTCGCCGTAGTACTCGTCGTTCATGTAGATGTCGTTGACCAGCTTGGGGTAGAAGCGGAGCAGGCGCTTGAGCAGGTCGTTGTGCAGCGAGGACGCCGCCAGGATGCACAGGTGGAGGATGGTCTCCCCCACGGCGCCGCGCTCCGCCAGGTCCCAGCACACGTCGCGGTAGCCGCCGGGGTCTGTTTCAGTACAAAATAAGATGCAAAGTCGCAATCACAGTTAAACCAAAACACGGCCTCCTCTAACCTTTGGTGGTTTCGCCCTCGGCGTCGAGCTGAGCCAGTGCACTGTTGATGTTGTACTCGCTGGGGTCGTCCATGGCCTTCAGCGGCGGCAACTGCAACACGACCACGCAGAGTTATTTTCCGCCAACTGTCACGGAAACGCCGTGCGGGTAGGCAACCCAACGACCTCCTGTGCGCCTACGGTGCCCGTTGGGTGGCCTATCCACGCCCGGTTCATCCCCTTCTCGCGAGACCAGCCTCAGTGTAACAGTGACCAAGGCACTGCACTGTAACTGACCATCTTGTGCCTGCCGCGGTCCTTGTTCCGCAGCAGCACCAGGATGCGCACGGGGATGAGCCTGCCCTTGCCCTTGTTGTACAGGAAGGGCTCCACCTTGGTCTTGATGGCGTGGTCCAGCTCGGCGTACTGCTTGTTCTGCGTGGCGCGCTTCATCATGTCGACGAGCAGCCCGCCGCCCTTGACGTCCACCAGCTTGTAGAGCGCCTGCACGGACGGCCCGGCCTGGTTCTTGACGCCGCTGGTCACGTTGCTCTCCGCGTTTCCCATGGCGGTGCTGGCGGTGCTGGCGGGGCTCGCGGGTCACACTCAGTAGGTCGCCGTCAAGAGCGTGCGGGTCGAGGAGCGCCCAGGCGTTGGCGTCGCGGAAACGTCTGGAACATGGTTCACTTGGTGGCGGCGGCGCGCTGTCGCGACCGTCGGGTCGGCGGTTCGACTCCCGGCGGCGGCTGAGGATGCGACTGCATTTCCTCGGAGGGCGACGTCACCACACTGCCCCCGCGCGCTGCGGGGTAGGCAGCCAGGCAGCCCGACGCAGCGCCGCCAGCTGCCACCGCGACGATGCAGTGTTGGCTTTGACCCCGCTGCGCCGCGACCGCCGCCGTCGCGGTGGAGAAGCTCGCCCTCTCTTTCTCTCTCGCGGGCCGTGGCGGGGAGTGTGAGTGAGGCGGAAAATGGCGCGCGGCCGGGATTCGAACGCGGTGCTCTGGCGTGGCCACGGCGTGGCTGTTGCTCGGCAGCGCGGCCCACATCGATCAAACAGGCATACCGGGGAACCAGGGAACCCCCGCGACCCGCGGCACCGTCTCAATGGCACGGGCAGCGCGGCGCCCTGCACTGCAAGGCGCCAGCCCTGGCAGCCTTGGCGGCGGCCGAGCAACAGTTTGCCGCGCCCCGCACTGGAATGCTCGAACGCCCCCGCGTGCCACGCTTCCTGGAATGTGTATGCAGGCACGGCGTCATGTTGACTTAGGAGTCTCACTGCGTCACCGAAATTCACTCGGAAATCCTATGTTTCTTTTCTGGGTTTGATCGTAAGTGTGAGGGCATAGCAAAAATGTTTTTGAGAAATAAAAATGTGTTGTTTTCGAGATACTGATATATTTCTTTCACTACCAAAATACACTTCGCTGAAGGGCTTTAAATAAAAATAGATATATTTGGTTTAAAAACAGTTCTGTCATTATCTATACTTATCAAAATCTAAACCCGTAGAAAGTACCTAAAATTAAATTATAAAAGATCTTTTGTACATGTTGTTTCCTATTTGGAGCAGATCTCTCCTCGACGTCGGAGTGCAGTCCGGTTCATGTGAGAGCAGCTCTAGTGCGGTGCGACTCGAGAGCGTCCGGTCGTGCCAGTAACACTCTTCCTTACCAGCTAATGAAATAAAATAACGTACAAACTAAAAATTTGGACAGCATCGGAGCCCGAGGCTTCTGAGAGCACAGGCAAATCCAAGCTTGGTCCATTGGTCACAGCAGAGAGTTAAGTAGACAGCGTACCGACAGGGGTGTGTCTACTAAATTAAGTAATAAAGGCCTTAAACTATAAGAATAACTGGGGTTGTGTCCCTCCTGGAGCCACTGGCAGACAGGGTGTGCCACACGCACACATTCATTCATTCATTCATTCATTCTCTCATACATATACACACGTCATACACGCACAAACACTATCAAACCCCCTCGCCTGAGCCTGCACGAACTATTTTGGACTAGGGTAAATCAAGAAGCATCCTTATGGCAAACTAATGGTGAGCATAGTTCTTCTGTGCAGAGCCCAAACTCAGCGGCAATCCGGCACTCAAACTTAAACTACGATCCCTAATCGCTAAAATCACAATAATAATCTCAAACAACACGGTCGTCAACATCTTCAAGTCTATGGGTCAGTCATGAGAGACTCTGGTCGCGAGACAACTACACTATTTACAAGGTCCGAGCTCAGCACTCGGTGGCGCCCTGGTACAGCATGCAGCGTAGCTTGGCGGTCTCGTTGCGCAGGGCGGCCACCTCGTACTTGAGCTTGAGGTTCTCCTGCTCCAGGAAGGCGGCGCGGATGGCGATCTCGTCCTCCTTGGCGCGGCGCGCGTCGCGGGACCGCTTGGCGGCCTCGTTGTTCTTGCGGCGCCGCTCCCAGTAGGCCGCGTCCTTGCCGTCCTTGGAGTCGCCGCCGGCGCCGGACTCGGGCGACGACGCGTTGCTGCTGTCCGCCGCGCCGGCCGGCGTCGTCTCGCCGTGCGTCAGCGAGTCGGCGGGCTGCTGCTGCGTGGGGCTGGGCGGGCGCGCGTCCTTGTTCCTGGCCTTGTTGGCGGACGACGGCATGGCGGCCTGCACCTGCGCCAGCATGCGGCGCCGGAACTCGGCGTAGGCCTCGTTGGACGCGCGGCCGAGCGCTGCCTCCGCGGCGCCCAGCGTCACGCCGCCGACCTGCACGCCCGCGGTCAGGCTCAGCGGGTCCTTGGGGTAGGCCTTGAAGGGGCGCGTGGGCTTGCCGTTGCGGCTCGCCGTGCTGGCGGGGCTGGCGGGGCTGACCTGGTGGGGCGTCCCCAGCGGCAGGCTGCCGGTGGGGCTGGTGGTGGGCAGCGCGGTGGGCAGCGCGGTGGGGGCGGCGTAGTGCAGTCCGGGCAGGCCGCCCAGATGGCCCAGCGGGCCCAGGATGTCCATGCTGGGCGGCGACGGCGACGGGGAGGCCGCCGTCGAGCTGCGGTCGTCCGAGGAGCCCAGCGGTGAGTCCGGCAAGCCCGAGGACGTGCGGCGGCGGCGCGGCGCGGGCACTGTGGGCATGCCGGCGCCCATGCCGGCGCCCATGCCGGCGCCCATGCCGGCGCCCATGCCGGCGCCCATGCCGGCGCCCATGCCGGCGCCCATGCCGGCGCCCATGCCGGCGCCCATGACGGCACTCATGCCGGAGGCCGTGGAGCACGGCGCGAAGGCCGACGTGGCGGACCGCGGCAGCAGGCGCTGCTGCAGCACGGACATCGGGGGCACGGCGGACATCTGGTTGGCGTCAGGCAGTTCCTGTAGACAGAGATTCTCGCTATAAAGCCCGCTCGCCAACTGAATTCTTGAATTACTTTTGTTGAAACGCCAACAGTGCCCTCTGTGACGGAGAAGACACTCACCGCGTGGGGGTAGGCGGGCGGGCTGGGCAGGCTGGTCTGGTAGTCCATCTCCATCTTGGGCCGCACCGCGGGCTTGATGTCGTTGTGGTTCACGGCCTTGCTGTTGTTGTTGTTGAGGTAGGGGTGGTACAGCGGGCTGCGGGGGCTGCTGGGGCTTCGGGGGCTCATCCTGGCGGGGCTGGACACGGGGCTGGTGGTGGGGCTGGACCGGCGCACGCACAGGTCCAGCACGCTCGGCCTGTCCTGGTGGGCCGGCGGGCTGGCCGGGCTGTGGGGCAGCATGGTGGCCATGTGGCCCGCGTTGCTGGAGAAGTCCAGCACCTGGTACACCTCCATGGCGGCGGTCGGGGCGAGGGCGGTGGTTGGCGGGCAGCCTGCAAGCAGAGGGAGGCACAGGGTTAGAGAGAGGTCGTTGTGCTCCCCGAGGGCGCCGTGCGCGCAGGCAACTCTCCGTTGCGCAACGCGTTCCTGCGCGGCGTGCTGCCTATCGCGCTGCCGTCGGGCGCTTCGCTCTCCCTGCCGCGGACTCTATGACGCGACGCAAGGGGCGGCCCCAGCGGTGGCTGCCGGCTGGCGGTCGGAACGCCGCGGAACGTTCTCACGGAGCCGCGAATCGAACGCGAGGGCGCGACGCGTCATGCTGCTGTCAGAAGATGTTCCCGGTGGCAGACAAAGCGCGCTAATCCACGGCGACACACTGCGGCGGGGCGGGGCGGGGCTGCATTGGTTTCGGACCTCATCCTCCGGCAAACAATCGGACGCTGCGGCGTGTCCGGGCCGGACTCCGGCACCGCCTGGCCGCCGCGGCCGGTGCGCGTCGAGTCCCCCGCGGTGACGCGCGGTGACGCGCGGTGCGGGGGAGGACCATCAAAGGAGTGCTAACGGCAACCTCGCCGATGACCTCGCAGCCCCGCACCGTGATTGACACTAGGGGCGTCACGGGCCGTGGCTGCGGAGGCTGAGGGGGAGGGGCCATGGACTGCGGCGGGGTGCGGCGCTTTGGGTGGCGTGGCGCGGCGTGGCCGGAGGCAAGCGGACAGACAAACACCGTCACAATGCAACGCCGGGATGACCGGGCTGCCCGACTGGGCCATGATGCACCACTGCTATACCGCTATGCCGGGACGGTCGGGGCCGGGGTCACCGTCCTGCAGTTATACAACCCCCGGCAGTGTTACGGGACCGGTCGCAACAACGTTGCAACGCGCCGCCACACTGGAAGGTCGGTCGACCTCACCCGGCCTCGCTGGCCCTGGCAGTGGCCCGACATCGTGACCCTCGAGGCCGAGGCCGGCCTGCAGGTGTAAAGCGGTTCTACCTGGCTGCCCCCGCCAGCAGAGCAATCGCGCACAGCGTTCTGTCGCTGTCTCTCTCGCACCCAGGCGACTCGCCCGTGCAGTGCGAGAGAGACGGGCCGACCCCCGCGGGAATGACCTCACCGGTGACACGACGACGACGACGGTCGTCGATTCGGCGCGCCCTTTTATGCTCCACCGGAAGAATACGCGCGAAACGGGAACGGGGCGCTCTTTCTCTCTCGCACACCGCACCGGCCACGCGGGCCTCTCCTCCTTTCTCCGCGATTGCATATTCATGAAGCAGGTCAACAACACGGCGCGCAACGGGCGCCCTCTTCAACGCCAGGCCGCCAGCCTGGCCTGACCCACGGGCCCCACGGGGCAGCGCGTTCAGCTCTCCACGAGACGCCCCACCGGAACGGTCTTCTGTTCAAAACCCAACAAATTTCTACAAAGAGGAAAAGATGCCCCCGATGAGTTGATTCCATTCTGTCCAATTCCGCGATGCCCAGAACCAAGCAGTAACGTTTCCACCCCGCATCATTTTCACGGTTTCTAAAAATGCATGTTTCTAGTTGACACTCACCTATAAATTCATAGTCCGTGCGACGGGCGGGCTGCGGCGAATCTATCCAGCTTGGGTGGCGAAGGTCCTAGAAGTTGAAGGCGGACGGGCGGACGGCTCACTGTTCACTGGTCGCGACACTGTTCGGATCGCTGTGCGCGTCTCGGCTCGGCTCGGCACGGCTCGGCTGTGTAAGACGTCTTCTCCTCTCGAGCTCCACTGACTGACTGGCGGGACGGGCCAAGATGACTGGACTGGACGGACTGACCACCGCACCGGCCGAACAGCCGAACCTGTGGACCGCGGCGGGGGTGGGGGTGGGGACCCGGAGGGCGGCGCGGGCGAGGGAAGGGGAGGGGGGCTCCGGCACACTGAGTGCAGTGCGCTCCGCCGCGTAGCGCTGTCTACGCTGCCGACCTGCCGACTGATTCCGAGGGTCGTTTTCGTCGCTCTGTCTCTCTCGCATCCATACGGCAGGGCCGATGAGTGCGAGAGGGACAGCGACGGGAGCGACTCTCGGTATGAATCTGCTGTCTGTGCGTGGGCTGAGGGCCAAGGGCCGAACGGTGGAAGACCCGAACGACGATCGACTCGGCTCGGCTCGGCTCGGCTCGACTCGGCTGCGATCCGCTCGGCTCGGCTGGGCTCGACTCGGTTCGGCAGTTTGCCGAACAACCCCTTCCCTGGTGCGAGGACGCTGCGAGGCAGGACTGTCTCTCTCTGTCATCCTTATCCACTCGAAAGCCCACCAAAAACAGGGCTTTACTTCTGCCGATCTTGCGCAAATCAGACACTTCTTACGCCTTCTTTCCATTGGACCGCCACGGCTGGCAAGTGTGCATGAGCTACGTATAGTCAGTCCGAGCATGGGAGTCCATGTGTTGTTGTCCTGCGACAGATGCGTCCGAGTGCGTTCATTAGTTCTCTTGTGTTCTACTCTTTGCCGAATCCGGCGCCGAGTGGAGGCAGTGCTGCGTGAGCGTGCTCCTTTCGGCGGAAAATTGCGACGTCTCGTGTGTCTTCTTGTTCTTTTCTCTCCGTCCCTCTCTCTCCCTCACTCCTTTTATCGTCTCCATCTCTCTTCCCTGTTTTGGTTGCGGTGCCGGCGCGGCGTGCAGCGGCCGCCCCGACCTCGCCGCGCCAGTGTGTAGCCGCGCTTGGGTCTTGCAGTGTCTCGCACACGATGTAACGCACAAACGGCCCGACCGTCTCTTACAGCACGCGTTGCAAACCAACGGGCGGCGATTGCGAATCGCTAGACAGCACACTCGGGCCAATACCAAATATCGAGACACACGACGGTGTTGCTCTCGAACCCTCGGCTTTCCTGCGCAGCTCCCTCGCTCTCGAAATAAATTGAATCGACCGCATCGCCGACCGGTCCCCGGCCAGATTCCGGATTGCAGCGCGGCGACTCCTCTCCTCTCTCGCGGTTGCAGAGTGATTCCGAGGGTCGACTTTGTCCCTCTCTCCCTCTCGCACTCACGCGGCGTCCCGCATAGGTGCGAGAGAGACAGACAGAGCGCCGAAGACGACTCTCGGCATCAGTCTGCTGCTCGGCTCATTACGGGGCGTGGCCACTCGGCCGCGCTGCCGCGCCGTGGCAGGGACACCCAAGACACCGAGGTGCTACAGGGTGTCGCGCGGCTGGCGCGGCGCAGCGCCACCGGGTGTCCAGCGGGAGGTCTCTCTGTCTCTGGGAGCCTTAGCCTGCTGTGATTATGATTAGGTTTTTGATATTTTTCTTGAGTTGATGTATATATCTCCGTTTTGAGCTGCAAGATAGGTTTATTTATGTTAAATATGTTTTTGTTTTTGTTCTATATGTCTATTAAGTTTTTTTAAAGAGAGCAGATTATGTACGGGAACGGGGCTCCCATAGCCCTATTGTATATAATCTTTAAATAAACAATTTCAATTTCAATTTCAATTTCAATTTCTCTCTCGCACTCGTCGGGCGCCCCTATACAGGTGCGAGAGAGACAGACCGCGCTGTCATCCCGGTAGCATCCCGCTCCTCCTCGTCATCGCCGTCCTCCCCTCTGATTGGCGGACCCCGTCGACAACCCTTCCGGCGGCCACCCTCGCCGCCGTGGCCGAGGCCAGCAGCACCATCAGCCAGAGGCAGCCAGCCCCGGGGCGCGCACATGTCTCTGTACACACAATTATTCTTCTTACGCTCCCCCGCCCACGCACACTCGCTGTCTCTCTCTCTCTCGCGCGCACACACACACACACACACATTCACCGTCGTGCTGCCACTTCCTGCATCGCATCGACTCGCGGTCCCCGTCGTCCTATTGTAGCCCACGAGTGAGCGACCGTAACGCGGCGTAACTGACTTTCCTTTTGTTTTTGTTGTTTTTTGCCACAAGCCATGCGGAATCATTTTCCATAAATTACCGTTATTCTCGGCTAAAAAGGAAAAGGAAGGGGCGCACGCGGTTCTTTTGTTTTTTTCGGCCGTGCGTTTTTTTGTTGTTTCTTTTCCTGCGCAAAGCGCCGCGAAACAACAAACGGACGAGCTGTCCACACATTGTGCTCGCGTTGGCGACATGCTTCGCAGTGCTTCGCAGTGCTTTGCAGTGCTTTGCAGTGTGGTGGCTGCCCTGGCTGCGCTGCTCGGCTGGCGCAGTGACCCTCCCTTCGCAATAGTGGCGAGCGGAGCGGCTTCGAGGAAGGGCTGGCCTGGCTGGCGGGACGGCGTTTCGGCGCTCTGTCTCTCTCGCGCGCCTGTGGGGCACCTCGGGAGTGGGAGAGAGACGGAGTGGCTGGACATGCTGGACCTGCGGCTAGGTATGCGCATGACGCCGTGCTCGCCGTGCGCGGGGGGCTGGCAAGGCTGGCAAGCAAGGTGGTTGCGGGGCGGCCGCCGCGCTGCCGGGGCACAGGGCACAGGTAGGGCTGTGGGGCCAAGAACCCGTCAGAGGTGCCGCCGCTACTGTAATCCGGGCCGTGCCACGCCACCCTAAGTGAGTGACATCACCGTGACGTGCCGTGACAGCTGTGGCACGCTGTGGCGAGCTGCGGACGGCCAGTCCACTGCCAGTCCACTGCCAGTCCACTGCCAGTCCACTGCCAGTCCACTGCCAGTCCACTGCCAGTCCACTGCCAGTCCACTGCCAGTCCACTGCCAGTCCACTGCCAGTCCACTGCCAGTCCACTGCCAGTCCACTGCCAGTCCACTGCCAGTCCACTGCCAGTCCACTGCCAGTCCACTGCCAGTCCACTGGCCAGCCGTCCACTGCCAGTCCACTAGTCCATGCAGTCCACTGCCAGTCCACTGCCAGTCCACTGCCAGTCCACTGCCAGTCCACTGCCAGTCCACTGCCAGTCCACTGCCAGTCCACTGCCAGTCCACTGCCAGTCCACTGCCAGTCCACTGCCAGTCCACTGCCAGTCCACTGCCAGTCCACTGCCAGTCCACTGCCAGTGCCACTGCCAGTCCACTGCCAGTCCACTGCCAGTCCACTGCCAGTCCACTGCCAGTCCACTGCCAGTCCACTGCCAGTCCACTGCCAGTCCACTGCCAGTCCACTGCCAGTCCACTGCCAGTCCACTGCCAGTCCACTGCCAGTCCACTGCCAGTCCACTGCCAGTCCACTGCCAGTCCACTGCCAGTCCACTGCCAGTCCACTGCCAGTCCACTGCCAGTCCACTGCCAGTCCACTGCCAGTCCACTGCCAGTCCACTGCCAGTCCACTGCCAGTCCACTGCCAGTCCACTGCCAGTCCACTGCCAGTCCACTGCCAGGCCGCCATCTTGCGCGCCAAGTAGGGAAGCGGTGCGCGAAAACGACGCGACCACGCTCAGCAGTTGCCTGGCTAAGTTCATTTCCAACTGCGAGAAAAACAGGAGCGCCTATACCCGTTTCGAGGGGGGACGGGTGCTTGACTTCTGGTTGAACTTATGGCCTGGTGCAAACAAAACAAAAATGAGTCGACACGTGGGGATTTGAACGCCGGTCCTCTAGCTCAGAGGTTCGCTATCGAGAGCTGCGGTCGATGCAGGGTTAGCCCCTTTTTAGCTGCTAAGCAGCTCGGCAAATTCTAGTCAACGTTAAAAATAATAAAAGACTATTTTTCTGTTTATTTCAATATACTTTTTAAAGTTTTTTTTTTCTGGCCGTGTGCTGGTGCTTTGATTGGAACATTGTCCATCTGCAGCACGGCTTGTCGACGGCTTCGCTGCACGCCGTGCAGGCGCAAGTCCAGTCACCAGGAAGGAATAGGACCCGCCGCGTGTGTCATACGAGCCCCTCCCCTCCCCGCGGCGCGTGTGTGTGGACAATGCGCGAAAGCAAAGGGTCAGCCAGCTGTCCTGTCCGCAGCCCAGTGCACCGCCATGGCACCGCCAACGCATCCGGCTTGGCGGACGGCTCGGCTCGGCCGGCCGTAGCCTTTACCGCCTTCACTCCATTCGCTTTCACATCTTTCGCATTCGTCGCCATTCAGCATTTCACCGGTCAGCTCACACACAAGAGGAGCCCACCCCGCGCCGCCGCCGCGCCGCCGGGCCGCCACCGCAGTCTTGCAGTGTGATTTGAAAACAGGACTCCTTGTGCTAGCTCGAGCTCCCCGGAGTGTCGCTCCGTGCCGCGCGCCCCTCGCCGACACGTGTCCAGTCGCCTTGACGTTTCCATTTTCGGGGCGCGAGCGGGGCGGGGCGGGGCGTTGCAGTGCGGTGGCCCCCGCAGCTGTCCGCCGCTGTTTTCTGTTTCCATCCAATATCGCAATCACTTGGCCCGGCCGGGCCGCGGTCCGGCCGCAAGATGACGTGCGGGTCGTAATGGAGGCGCCCACGGCGGGGCGGCCGGACAGCCTCGCGCAGCCTCATCTTGATAAGGAGAAAGCGCGGGGCGGGGCGGGGCGGGGCGGGGCGGGGCGGGGCGGAGCATCATGGCGGCCGTCTCGTCTAATTCCACAAATTGCCGGCCAAAATGCTGTCGGCGCCCCGCCTTATCGCGATCGCGCCCTCGTCGCTCTGTCTCTCTCGCACGCACGCGGGACGCCCCTCGAGTGCGAGAGAGACAGAGCGGTCCGTTCCGAGTCGCCACTGCGGGCATGCCACGCGTGCCACGCGCCACCGGGGCTGGGGGTGGCAGCTGCGATGTGCGATCTGCGATCTGGCCGCACGACAACGACGAGGGTCCAAGGGTTCGGTGAGCAGCCTGAGCGAGCAGGGACGGCGCAGTGCCACCACACTGCCACCAGCCGCCCGTGTGTTGTCGCCACTTAGAGAGCGCATTT